AGCCGAACCTCGAAAGAATCGGCCATGAAAAGATCCTCGCGAACGTTAGAAAGATCTGCTCACAAAAAGCGATTAATTCTCGAAGACGTAGTTGTGGATAAGCAAGACAATAAAGAAAACATCGGTCCTACGACGAGTGACATGTTTATATGTGCGTTGGAAGATACAGTTTCTACTGCCACTCACACTGCAAATGTTTTCTTTTTAAATTTTAGTAGAGTAAATGTGCTTCTCTCATTAAATAAGCTATGAAACAATTTAAATAGCAAATACCTTGATGAAAGTGACGTAAGTGTGTCTTGTCCATTGGAAATCTCTTTGCGGTTTATTTTTGCTAGCCATAATCCACGTCTTTTTTTCGATAAGTCCCTTGTTTGAGCTCCTGAGTAATTTCCAGAGGAACAGTGAAGAAACGATTAGTTTTATCCCTTTCAGAGCATCTAGAACAACCAAATACACAACAAAACCTGCCCATGTTTCTCCGATGCTACTGAAGTCAATGGCATAGCATGCCTGGTGTCATGGCGGCGTAGGTACTGTTGCCATGGGGGACACGTGACGGTGCAAAGCCTCTATACAACTACAAAGCTCAAAATGCTCTGGTCCACCTTGTGATGTCATGAAGGGGTCGTTTAACGTCTACCTTTTACCTTTAGCTCAGTAGAGATGGGCATTTCCAGAACTTAAATTATCCAGATGATTTTAGTGATGGTGTATGGAGCTTAAAAACACAGTGGAGCACTCTCTGTATTACCACATGACATCACAAGGTGGTTTCAGTTTGAAAGAAGAACTGATTTGTGTGTTAATAATGTGTGAATGAAACAAAACACAACTCCAGATATGTTTTTAATAAGGAACAAACACTATAACATAGATCAGAAAATACTTTAATTTGGGCCCTTTAGGTAAAGATTTATAGAGAGGTGTGACAGGAAAGTTGTTTTTTTCAGTCCCTCAAGCTTCAACTTGTGCATGCTGTTGTTGTGTACTTGGGCAAGACATGTTACCTACTTCACCCTAGTATGCTGTGGACACTATCAGTATATTTCTGGAAGTAAGTCTGTCATCTGCTTGTCTCATGAAAATGTTCTTGCTTTGCCTGGAATGTTCCACAGTATGGCATTATACTTAACTTACATTTATCGAATTACTGTTGTAAAATAGTGCTTTTATGTGGAAAAAGTCCATGTAGGCAAACCGACATCATCTCCATGGAGAAAAAGCTTTGGATCCCCAAAACATACAAAGTGCTCCTTTAATTTCAAAAGAGTAATATTTAATGTAAATATTTAACTGCCATGACAACAGTATTTATTTATTTTTTTAATCCCCCTGAAATCCATCGGTATGTGGATCGTTTGCAATGCCCTAGTTTATTGTATACTACTGACTAGGGATGTAACAATATCCAAATCTCTCAGCACGATATTATCACGATATGCATCTCACTGTACGATATTTATTTCGATATTTTGGAGAGGCTGACATAATTGTAAATGGGACACTTTTTGCTTTTAAAATACTTTGACAAGATTTTGGTGTGAATTATTTCTGTCTTAATCCCAAGAATTCAAGTCAAAAACATATCTCTTCATGTTGTCTGCACTGAAATGAATCATGGGATATGTAGTTTTTTATGTTTATAAACTCTTGCTACTATAAAACCATGCATTTAAGCAAAGGAACTTGTAATTCGATATATTGTGACAACCCACGATATTATTGTGAGACTTTTGACGATACGATATCACAATATTTTAGTTATTGTTACATCCCTACTACTGACATCAACAAAAGCTACAGTTTTGGATAAGGTAGCTCATGAAATTAGGAATTGTACCTCATCTACAAACCCAGTTGTGCAGTGCCTATAGTGCCACTGCAAATGTAGATGAATAAGACAACAATACAAGTCCATCTTTCACATCTCTCCCTTGTATCCATCACAGTCCTCTCCTTTGTTTGCTCTGTTTTATTCACCTGCTCTTTCCTCTTCCTCTCTCTCTCCTCTCACGCTCTCCTCCCCTCTTTCCACTCTCTCTCCTCCCCTCTTTTTCTTCTCCTCTCATCTCTGGTTCCTGACACTTGTTGACTTCCCCTCAGTGTCTCTTTTGGGAAATCTTGGCACCACCAGCATCACTTTGTCATTTCTCTGCTTCAAAGTAAAACAAACTCACAACACAAAAGGGAAGTGCGCAGGAGCAGGGATGACTCATGGCTCGGCTTTACTCTGATATTACAGTAGTCGTACATTGTGCTATTGATACTGTCCATCAACAAACTTTAAAAGTACAATATATGTAACTTCATGGAAATGGAAAGTTATAACATGTTTTGGAACATTCTCCAGGAAGATAGATAGTTTTAAAGCCATACTCTGGAATACTGTAGCTAAAGGAACAACATTAACATAGAAAAATGTGAGGGGAGGCCAAAATAAGAGCTGGGTTTGTGGAGATGCAAGTCTGCTTGGAGTAAGAGCACAACTTTTTCAGTGCAGCAAATGCAACCAAAATGATGACGATGACGACAACAACAACAACTACAAAAACCTTTTATTTTAGTCAGTTTTTTGGCTAAATGTTACACACTGTTAGCCTGATTCATCAGCCGGTTTTACTTCGTTTTACTTCAATTTCACTTCGTACAAACCGTCTGACCTCGCAGCCTTAGATTTTGTTCGCTCAACAGTAGGTGGGTACTTTTTTATCATTTAACCATTTGGTTGTGTCGTATGTAATGCGCAGCTAACGGGGCTAACTGGTATATTAAGCTTTTTCCCAAACCCCACAGGAAGAAGGACAATAAAGTCTTTCCCTCTGATAAAATTCACCAAACATTATCTTTGTTCTGGCTTTAAATCCTCGATCTCAGGAATCGTTGACAACACTGAATATATGACTCTGGCTGGTGCCCGAACTTGCACTTCCGGGGTTTTTGCAAACCGTCTGTTGTATTTTGATTTCTGACCTAGTTGCTGGAGAGAAATGAAACTGAGCGGAGGCACTAGGTGGCGCCAGCCTGGCTAACACACTGTAGCTTTAAGACTAGTTTTGATAATTTGACCAAACTGTACCTTTCATGGTTATGAAAATAAACATCCAATAAAAATAAAAAAAGATACATTTGCACAGAATAATCTTGTAGCATCATTAAAAATATACTATATAAACAATACAAAATCTACACCTGTAGCTGTTTGACATTGCACTTCTGGACCTTGGACATAAAGATGTTCATTTGAAATTCAAATATTTATAACACCTGTGATACTAACTTCTCCCAGGGTTAATGTTTAAAATAAAACTGTAAACTCAGCAGGAAGTGTCTGACTTATGTTTATGTTTGCCACGGTAAATGCAAATTTTAGAACCATTTTGAAACAAGCTACTTTCTATGTTGTTTCCTTTAGCAAGATGCTTGACTTTGCATTAACCCTGGAAGAAGTTAGTATTATAGGTGTTATAATGGAGAGTTAAAATATATAAATGCACAGGTAACTATAATAACTACATCTTAATTTATCTCACGTAGCCTTAATAAAAGAGTAAACAAAGGTGTCTTTTTTTTAAAGAATAATTCGGGCTTTGTAACTACTTAAAGGTGCACTATGTAACTTTTCTGGTGTGGGCTCTGCAATCTGCTTTCATAGATTTACCATCTCTATTATGTTGAGATATATATATATATATATATATATATATATATATATATATATATATATATATATATATATATATATATTTTTTTTTTTTTTTCATTTGTTTGGAATGTTGCAAGATGCTGCTTTAAAAAAAAAAAAAAAACTTTTTAAAATGTATTCCCTTTACAGATTACAGATTACATACCCCAAAATGTAGTTTGTAGCATAATCCATTCAATTACTTAGGGTGAGTAATGTAATCTGAATACTTTGGATTACTTGATATTGTCGTGCTTTTTAAAACTGCATGAATGTAACAACAACAACCTGAAAATTCTTGTTTGTTGTCTTCAAATTGTCTGTTGAGCCCAAGTCTCCATGAAGAGGCATTTGTTTACTATAGAGAAGCAAAGACTAAGAAATCTTAATATATAATGTTTTGTCTTCTTAAAGAGAATAAAAAGATCAGACTTTCCTTAACCAGATTAAAAATATTATTGATAGAGAAATGCTTTGTTTATGAGATCACCTTAAATTATATCCACCTTACTGTTAGGTGTCATATTGTTTATTTAAAAAGAAAATCACTTTCAGTACAAACATAAGGCACCAGCCCAGTAAAAATCAGTAATATTGGATGTTTTTTACTCAAAATGATGCAGAATCAGATTATTATCAACGCCGATTATTAACGACCGCGTCCACGCCACCAAAGTTAACAAGATGTTTACATTGCTCTTATTGCTTCGTTCTGTTTAGGTTTCCAGCAATGAATGGAATTACTCAAATAAAATAAAAAAAATAAAATAAAAAAAAAAGGGATATAGCCCAAAATGTGAAAACAGGAAAATAACGCCATGTAATCCATTTATTTCAACAAAGTAACTATAATCCAATTACCACTCACTGAAACAGTAACTGTAACTGAATACAGTTACTCATAATTTGTACTCTGATTACGTAACTCCGGTACATGTAATCTGTTACTCCCCAACACTGACTGTAGGACATTCCAAGAAAAGTTTATCAATGGAGATAAACCGACAGGGAATCCTCTACCAAAAATGTTTAATTAATACCCTACCCACCATAGTCTGACCTACTGTGCATGCTTAGTTACGGATAGTTTGACATAGCCATCACTCTTCTAGATGTAACTGATCATAGTATTTGCATTTTGAACATTTGCATATCTCTGACAAATAAGATACTGTGAGGTCCTTCCTGGTCCTTTTGGTCACAGTTGTGGTTGATCACAGTTAATATTTGACTAAATTCTGCATCTGATTTGAATGTGACCACACAGCCTGCAGCCTATAACTGTACAACCATTGATTCAGCATCTCAGACGCCATCTCCCCTCTGACTCTACAGGTAAGAGCACGGCCACTGCCTACATCGTATTCATTATTATTACTTTTACTGAATTATTGTGAAGGATTTGTTACTTTTGCTAAAATAAACATTGGCTTATCATGAATGTAAGGTTAGTTTAGACATACAAGGGAAATTACTTTGGTGTAGTAGCTCACGTATTGCAATATTATAACAAACACACAAAATATTAACTACAATACAAACATTATTGCACTTTGTTGTATCATCAAAGTTTTCCATCACTTTGACTCGCCTGATAAATGGTGCACAGCGTAACTTTTCTGGTGAAGAGTCCACCACCTTCATCTCCATGAGCTATTGCTTTGCTATTCAGTGTGGAATCAATTACAATTACAAAACATCTTACTGTTAGCAGGCTCACTTTTCCACATATCTGATATGTAACTTGGTCTGATGGTGTCCCTTTTTTGTTTCCATTAAGATATGTCAATTTAAGCAGGTGGCAAACTCATCACCTCTTCACTTACATAGTCTTTAAACACATACTATATAAATGCATACATAGATTATTTTATGTTTATGTGGTAAATATTAAATGTTTTGCCAATTTTATTTTCAGACTTTTGTGTCTCCGTTACAATGGGACCCATACAGCTAATCCTATGTCTGTTGATTACAGGTAAAGTGCTGTATCTCACAAATAAGTCACATGTTACTCTGTCTGCAGGGATTTTGCATCAATGTTGCACTGCATGTTTGTTTGTGGAAAAATATATATATATATGCTGGTGTGCATTGTTCTCTAATATGTATTATCCGTCTCTTACCGTCACAGGATTTGTAAAATCTTCAGTGCTACAATTACGAAGATTTGAGAGGGTTAATAAGACAAAAAGACATAATGCATCCGTAACGTGTCAGAACAGGAACATGAGCCTTGTTACTCTGTACGATGAAGATGATGCCGAATTTGTGATCAAGTTTAGCAAAAAAGTATGCCCACTGTCTGGGTCGGCCTCACCAAAACACTAGATAATAAGGAAGACGAACCAAAGTGCCCATCTACATCTGGTGTGATGAACTGTTCCGATCGATTGTTCTTTAAGTGCAACAGTAAATCATTTTATTAACATCACATATAATCCTTTCATATCAGTTGACAAATAATAATGAACACAATGCTGTTTTACAGGTTCTGACATCAAATCAAATGTGAAACTGAACTGGTGTGCAGCTAAACAGTACTGCCGATATCACTCTTTGGGAGACCTGGCGACGAATGAGAGCTCAGCCAACACAACTGACTCATTGTGGATTTCAGGGAACATCACTGACGACTGGAAATGGGATGATGGTGGCTGTTCCACATATCGTGAATGGAGCAGCCCTTTTGATGAGGAACAGAATGATACTGCTGCTACTCTGGGCGAAAGTTATGAGCTCAAACCTCAATCTAGCGATCTGGAATTCGAGGCAGTGTGCTCTACAGGTAAAATCACATAATATAATCATTCCACACCACACACAAAACATGCAGACAAACAACTTCTACACTTTAGATTAAAGGCTGCCACACACTACAGGATTTTTTGATCTTCAACGATTTTTAAACATGTGACAAAAGGTCCACACCACAGACACAGACACAATGAGAATCTTATGATATTTTAAATTTCAGATCACAAAGACTGCACGGGCTACACAATTGTAACCACCCCTCGCATCAGCTGTTTCCTTTCTACAATCAAACCAGGCTCTGTGAGACTCTGTGTTCAGAAGATCAGAGCACTGCACTAGTTTAGATGCCCAACAAAACTGTGTTTTTATTATTTGTGAAATGTTGTGGTGCAATACATGATTATTAATGCACAGAAGGTTGGTGATAAAGTACAGGGTCATTATCGCTAAATCTGCAGCTTCACCCTGATCCATGCTGCGAGGATGTAAACAGACACACGTGAAAAAATACTCTCACCTTTTTACTTTTGAAGAAAGTCTCAAACTGGATTAATAGCACAGCTTTGTGGACTAGGTGACATTATTTGTGTAAGACAAATTCTATGGATAGTGTGAATGAAAATGCTGCATTTTAACTTGACAACTTGTGAGGTGAGTAATAAAGTAGCCTCGTCATTTTTGCTATTTCCTTTGTATCTTCCTGTAGCGTTGCTGATGTTTGGTGATTACGATATGACAGAGCAGCTCAGAGTCACACTCACACCACACACATGAGGAGCATAGGAGTTTAAAAATTGCACACAAAGACACAAAGTTGGGTCACACCTCCCTGAACTCGGGACGAATCAAATCACAGCTTAAATCGGGCAAGTTCTCCTGTAGTGTGTGGTGGCCTTAAGGCAGTATTTTTCTTTGCCCATTGACCTGTACTTACATAACTAATTAGACTGGTGCTTTGGTTCTCAAGATGATTATCTAATTAGAAAGCAGAATGAGCATCACTTGAGTCTCTCATTTGATATCCATTACCCAAAAGATTTGAATCTTCATGATTCAATTATGACTCAGTGCTAGTGCAGTCTCTGCAGCTCAGTGAGGGAATTCTGGACGCTCTGAGCTTTCACATGAAGCATGTCCTGTCCATAAATTGAGAATGAGACTTGTATGTTTCTGCAGGTTAAGACACTGATTCACTTGTGATAATAATACCTAAAACATACTGCACTCCAAATGTACACTATATATTTCAGAATTATAGTTTATTTTTTCAATCTGCTTCAAAAGAGGCTTCAAAAAAGTAAAAAAGTAAAATAACTTCTGTGATTGAATGAAAGCATTGTCAGACATTTGATTTTACTTGTACTTTGTCAAACAGGTGATACGAGAATAGTGATTGTCAATATCCCAAAGACATGGGAGCAGGCTCTAGAATACTGCGACAAACATCACTCTGGGCTGCTGCAGATCCCCACCAGAGAGCACCAGGAGTCAGTGGAGCAGTGGTTCAATGCAACAGAACAGAACGGAACATTCTGGGTGGGATTGAGGCAGAGTCAAGTGTTTGGATTCTGGATGTGGAAGGACACAATTGTGAGCACCAATAATTGGGAGAATGGGATGCCCATGTTGCCCATGTCTCACGAGTGTGGGGTAATGGTGGTGCCTGGGTTGAAGTGGAGAGATCACAACTGCCTGTACCCTCTGCCTTTCATCTGTCAGGAGAATATTGTCTGGTTAAACAGTTCATTTGTATATCATTAAAGATCATATGTTACAAAAAGCTTTCAGGCATGTTATAATGTTGTTACCACATCCAAAAACATACCTGGAGAAGTGTTTTGATTCACTCACATATGTTTGAGTAATACCTTATTAGTCTGCTTACATCTCTAAAGCCCAATATGTTCCACCTTGTGATGTCATGTAGTGGTAGTTTTCAAGTTAACAGCTACGTTTTACCTGTAGTTTAGGGAATTCTGTGCTGAAAGTATCCAAATGATTCTAGCGAAGGTGTTCGGCATTTAGTGAAGCACTTCCTGTTTTACCACATGACATCACAAGTTGGAACAGAGTGTTTTCAGTTAGAGGGAAGGACTAAATATGCAGGTATGTTTGTGATGAGGATAAAACATTATAGCATAGATCAGAAAACTGTAATATGGACCCATGTGTTTGAGAAAGAGCCCAGTACAGTTCATTAGCAGCTTGTGAGGTCAAACTACGCAAAGTTGTGAACAGTGCTTTTAAACTTATTGCAGCGAGTAATTAAGATGTGTAGTATGCATAAAATGTAGAATAAATCACTACAATAAGTTCAATTTATTTTTTTTCTCGCATTTTTATGACTTTTAAGCCATGGTTTTATTGTATTTATATTTTGTGTTGCCCTTTGCTACAAGGAGCAAGCTTGTTTTAGTATATGTTTTATTATTAAAATAAGACAAACCTCATGAATTTGTGTGGTGAATTACTAAATTTCTAAACTACAGCAACTACTACTACTATTACTACAATCGGAAAATGTAAAAAAAAACATAGAATAATATGCATTTGAATGATAATAGTTCAAAACCATTTATGGAAGTGAAAATGGAAATTGTAATAATTTCAGCATGTGTAGCCTGAAGAATTTATTTGTTAACTTCATGTATGTTTTTTTTTTTTTTTTAATAAAATCATCATGCTTTGAATACGTGACACTGTTCACTTCCACAAAACGCACATTTGTACACCATAGTTTACTGACATTTTGAATTGCCCTGAACATCAAAACATAAGCTTACATATTATTCATTCTTGTGGCTTTAAACCCTTTAAACATGCCTTTGGTCATCTTGGTATATATATTTAACATTTTCAAAATTAAAATAATGTCTGCATTTAAAAAATACATTTTATGAACTCTGCCTCTGTTTCCAATTACGCATTTAGGCATTGGAGCGCCCTCTGCTGTCAGCAACCGGAATGAACAATGGGAAAGTAAACACATATACACCTATATTGATAGAGCTTAAAGGTTGTATAGAGGATTTTATAAGGAAAGAGGAATACAGCGATGGTCCTTTTTCAAATGTTGTCCCTCCTCCACAGCTCCCTCAGTAGAAACATCTCCTCCCTCCTCCTTACTTTAGAAATCATACTTGTTTACAGCCAGTGCGTGTTTAGAATTACTGTTGAAGTTTGCTGTCTCGAAATAATTTATCGATCGACGCGTCTTCAGTTTTTAGAGCCTTTGTCTGCTTCAGTTGCGCCATCGCTGGAAGGAATCTCCAAGAATCGCCTCAGTTTGTCTTCGCTCCTTTTCCCCTTCTTCTCTTCTTCTTTCTGCGACTTCAAAAACGGACTTTCTTTTGCGGCGAACTGGTCGTGGATTCTCGTCCGCCATCGCAACAAACTTTGTGCGAATTACGAGGAAGCTACAGTTTGAAAAAGCCTCTAAGAACCGCTGCATAAACCACGTAATCCCCGCGCGCTGTGAGTCAGTTACACTAGAAACACAGGGAGTTTGATTGACAACCTAACAGCCAATAGAAAATGAGGGAGCCTCGTTTTCTATTGGCTGATGTTTATCTGGCCTCAACACGTCCACAGTTGATAGATTTTCATTTTTTTTCTTTTCTTTTTTTTTTTTTTTTTGGTCATCATAATTACAAGGCTGGTGCATCTCTGAAATTGTATTTTAAACTTTCACTGACAATTTGAAACTAAAAAAAGATCCTTCGTACAACCTTTAACAGAGCCATGTGTTTGTTGTGAATAGTATAATACTATTTGACTGCAGAATGAGTCCAGTGATGGTTTATCGATTTTATAAACAAGTTCAGTATAGTGTTTCATCTTTGATACAAATAGGCAATATGCGTTTGGAGAGTTTATGAGTTGAAGATGATTTTGGATTTATAAATTAATGAAACAAGCAAGGATGTAACAAAAATCCATCTCCAGGTATGTATTTGATGAGGGGACATGAAATGTATGGTTAAAAAAAAAAAAAAAAAGTAAATTGTGCAAAATATGTTCTTTAACCAAAATCTACAATCAACATGTACATGAAAAAGTGTGCGGTGAATTTCAGAGTGATGCAAACGAGCCAACATTGAGGTTAGAAGCCAGAGTGCGTGTTGAGCAGCAGATGGGAGGAGGTATTGAGCTCTGTTAAACTATTAGCGTCCCAGTGTGCGCCCGGGGCAGTGTGGCACCACAGAGGAACAGGTCTGAGTCGGGCAGCCACTTCTTAATGTTCTCACATCGTTTCACCTTCACAGCCACTGTAAAAACAAAGTCTGCAGTATGAAGTTGTCAGGGATGGAGAGTTTGGTCAAACTAAGTAGTTCACCGTAGCTCAAACAGTGAGAGATACAGGACTACATTCATACCATACTCCAGATAACTTATGTATAACTTATGTAACAGATAACATTTGTCCTGCCAATCATCTCAACAACATCTTCCTTACAACCTCTTGTATAAAGCTGAGATATTTTTATTTATGTAATTATGCCTTATTTGACCAGTCTTTCTTTTGCAACTTATTTAGAATTTCTTATTGCCATTTTTTTTCTTTTTTTTTTACTCTTTGTTATCATAATATAATGTTATGTGTGAGCTGCTGTGTCCAAATAATGTCCTTTGTGATTCAATAAAGTTTGTCTATGTCTTTGTATATGAGGGACACAGGAGAATGACACAAACATACAAAGATGAGATGGGTGAGATGTTGTACTTTCTTTCAGTTAAAGCCCTACCATGTACCTTTTAAGAAAATAGATTTAAATACAACCTTTTATTGCACTGTGTCCTACTGTGAGTGGACTTGCATCTCCACAAACCTGACTTACTTGGCCTGAGAGAGTCTCAACCTAGCCTGATTCATCATTAGGTTTCAGTACGTAGAAACCGTCTGACCTCGCACTGTTAGAATTTGTTCGCTCGACGGTAGGCGGGTACTTTTTTTTCATTTAACCAATTCTATTTGGTCGTGACGTATGTAATGCACCACTAACAGAGCTAACTGGTATATTAAGCTTTTCTCAAATCCTGTAAGAAGAAGGGCAATAATGTCTTTCACCTTGATAAAATTCAACAAACATTCTCTTTCTTCCATTTTTTTAAATCCTCGATCTTGGTAATCGTTGCCAACACAGAATGTATGGCTCTTTGCTGATTGGCTGGTGCCCGAACTTGCACTTCTGGGGTTTTTGCAAACTGTCGAGAGTATTCCGATTCCTGACCTAGTCGCTGGAGAGAAATTAAATTGAGTGGAGGCACTAGGTGGCACCAGCCTGGCCAGTCTGAACCTGCTTGTCTCCTTGGAAATGTTTGGCCATCGTCCACATTATGTAACTATTCACTGAGAATGTGGAGGTGACATGCTACCACTTGAAGATTACACAGTGTTACTTTAATTTTGCTGTTTTGCTGTTGTTCCAGCAAAGACAGAGAAGTTGTTCTTTGAGAAGACAGGCAAAGCAAAGGGATACAATCTTATGTATGATTCATTTTTTAATCTTGCAGAGTTAGAAGAGATGGCCCTGCTCACAGCGATAAAGTATTTTAAGCAATGGAAACACATGCACTTAAAAAAATGCAAAATGTAATGCCATATTATGAAACATGGCCATGCAATATCATCTCCATGGAGACAAAGTAGTGGACCGATCACATTCCATAGTGCACCTTTAAGTGTCAATTTTTCTTACATAGATTGGTTTGTATTGGAAAATGATACAAATAAAATGAATAAATTACATACGTTCAGATTTAAATAATGACAATAATAATAATAGTTGTTGCTGACCCAAACCTTTGCAGTACAACAGTAACACTGAAATGAATTAGTCGTCTCATGCAGACCCCCTCAACCTATGACGGTGTTTCTGGCATTAAAATCACTACATGTGCATGAGTACTGGCATTTCAGACATGCTCGGGGTATAGGGACAGCTCATTTGCATGTGGAATTGGACCTCCAGGCTTCCGTAGGGTCAGGGTTACTCAGAGGTAGGCGTGTGCTGTCCTCAAAGCTAAGCACTCTCTGTTTTAGCCTTTGCTCCATGAAAAGTTCACAGTGACCCCATCTCACCAGAAACCTGCTAATTGCTATGTATTTGTTCAACAGTGTATTTTCACTCGCTAACTGTTGTTTGTACATTCATAAAAGCTCGAATTACAACAAGTACGAACCGATGGAAAAATATAATGTTTGTGATTCTGGGATATCAGGTTTTAAAACATTTATTTACCCCAGTCTGTTAGCTGTGAGTTGTTCGTCCACTCTTCTTTGCTCTAGCTTGAGTCATCAGCTGGTTTCACTTCGTACAAACCGTCTGACCTCATAGCGTTAGAATTCGGTCACTCAGTGGTAGGCCGGTACTTTTTTTTTTTCATTTAACCAATCGCTGCTATGTGGTCGTGACTTATAATGCGCCACTAACGGGACTAACTGGTATATTAAGCTTTTCCCAAATCCCGTAGGAAGAAGGGCAATAACATCTTTCCCCTTTGTAAAATTCACCAAACATTCTCTTTGTTCTGGCTTTAAATCCTTGATCTCAGGAATCATTACCAACACAGAATATATGGCTCTTCGCTGAATGGCTGGTGCCTGAACTGGTTTTTGCGAACCGTCTCGTGCAGGGGTGTCAAACTCATTTTGGTCCGGGGGCCGTATCCAACCTACTTTGATCCCAAAGGGGCCGGATCAGAAAACTCATGGCATATATGCCCCAAAAATAACAATAAGTTCAAATATTTGTGCAGAGAAACATCAATCTATTACAGAAATCTTTTTTTAATTGATGAACTCTTTCTTTTACATAATATTATAATATTATGAACAACACAACGTGTTTAACATTAACTTGTATGTAAGTAGTAATAAGTCAATTTTTCTTGGAAAATCCTGCACTCAGCGTCCACTTTTCTCATTTCTGACATTTTGATGATGAGGATGTCACGGTCAACAGTCAAAACATCAGTCCTTTAAGAGCATTTGGAAAGAGACAAGTCTTCATTTGTACCTGCTCTGCTGGGAGGGGCCACACACAGAGGTCTAGTTTGTTCCAAATCCTGACCTAGTCACTAGAGAGAAATGAAATTGAGTGGAGGCACTAGGTGGTGCCAGCCTGGCTATCTTTGCTCAGCTTTCTGCACAAAGTTGTTATGAGGAAGTGGTAAGATAGATTTAAATATCTGCTTCCTTGATACCAGTCCCTTGCTATATTTGCAACTTATTCTTATGTATGTATTTTTTATTTTTTGAATGTACCATTTATATGTTTTCTCTTTGACTCTGTTAAGTGTGAGCTACTGTGTCCAAGTAATTTCCCTTGTGGATCAATAAAGTTTGTCAAAGTCTCTGTTCACAGTTTGAAATCATCAAATACTAATATCAAATATCTATTGATTGATTTTTTTTTTTTTTTCAAAAACGTCTGAACTGAACCATGAACAATTGCCTTGATCACCACGTCCTGTGTGTTATTTAAATCCATTTTGTGTTTTTTCTTGAGTTTCCAGT